TGGGGTATAGACAGACTGGGTAAATTGGGGTATACACAGACTGGGTATATTGGGGTATAGACAGACTGGGTATATCGGGGTATAGACAGACTGGGTATATCGGGGTATAGACAGACTGCATGAATCAGGATGTAGACAAACTGAGTAGATCTGGGTATAGACAGACCGGGTAAATCAGAGCATAGACGGAAAGATACAGTGATTTGCTGTTAAGAATGCAAATATTGTACTCACATTGCCCTTCTCAAATTTGTTGACATTATTCTTGCTGTCATAAAGCACCCGGTCCCCTGTGTCTCCCTGCAGACCGATCAGGCAAATGAAGACATTGGCATCTGTGCCACTGCCACCCACTTTGCCAGTGTAGATGATAACCCGGTATTTCACCACTGCATGGAACACACACAAAATATCATGACTACTGTTCATGTTATATCTACTCGGAGATAGCAAGAACTACAGATGCTGGAGTCAGAGTCGATACAGTGTGGAGCTGGAGGAACACAGCAGGTCAGGCAGCGTCAGAGGAGTAGGAAAGTCAATGTTTCGGATCGGGACCCTTCTTCAGGGCCCTCCCAACCCAAAACATCAACTTTCCTGCTCCCCGATGCTCCTTGACCTGCTGCGTTCCTCCAGCTCCACACTGTATCGATTGATGTTAAATCTGTCCTGGTTTTCAGTTTATGGTTCTGCTTTGCAGGGTTGGCTGTCAAACTCCCAATGCCCCAGAGAGCTTCTGGACGTAGATTTGGACTATAGGTTAGAGTTTTCTTGTCAGTAGTTAGATTCCATGTCAGAACTCAGTCTAGATTGTGAACTGGGGAGATGGTGCGACATGCTGCTGAAGACACTTGGTAACATAAGAAACAGGAACAAGTGTAGGCCATTCAGCCTCTCAAGAATTCTCAGTAAGATTGGGGTAAATGTATACCCAGCCTCATTTTCCTGTCTGACCCGCAATACACTTGATGTTGCATAGCACCTAACAATGGTCCATACTACACTAACTTGCGATTATCCTGCTACCTCAGATGGGAAATCACACACGTCAAAGTGGGAACAGAAATGCCTCCTGGGATGGGAAATTGAAAGAATATTATTTAAAAAATCAAAGAAAATTCTAACTATTCTCACAATTACAAGTGGTTCTACCAGCATTTTGCAAAAGCAAGTGTTAACAGTGAAGTACAGATTCAGCTGCTGATTATATTGCTCTCCTGATTCACATCAATGTTAAAATCGACAGAGATGACCATCTGGAGTGATGTATAATGGATGGTTGAAACAATAGAAACTAAGAGCAGAAGTAGGTCATTTGGCCCTTCAAACTTGCTGTGCTATTTAACGTGATCATGGCTCATCCTCTATCTTAACGACATTTTCCCACTTTCTCTTTATACCCCTTGATGGCTTTAAATTTTAAAAATTATCCCTTTCTTGAATATACTAGATGTCTTATCTCCACAGCCTTCTGTGGTATAGAATTCACTAGGTTCACTAATTTATGAGTTTAGAAATATTTCCTCATCTCAGTTCTGAATGGTCTACCCTGTTTCCTTAGATTGTATCCCCTGGTTCTAGACTCCCCAACCAGGGAAAACATCCTTCCGGCATCTAGTCTGTCCAGGCGTTAGAATTTTACACATTTCAATCAGATCGCCCATCATCCTTTGAAACTCTAATGAACACAGGTGCAGTCAAACAAATCTCTCTTTGTAGCTCCTGGCTTACACAAACAGCCAGGGTCAAGATTACCCCCGGTAATTCTTCTGATCGTAGATCGTAGAATCCCTACAGTGTGGAAACAGACCCTTCGGCCCAACAAGTCCACACCGACCCTCAGATATCCCACTCAGACCCATCCCCCTATAACCCACCTAATGTACACATCCCTGAAAATTATGGGCAATTTAGCATGGCCAATCCACCTAACTTGCACATCTTTGGACCGTGGAAGGAAACCAGAATACCCGGAGGAAACCCCCACAGACACGGGGAGAATGTGCAAACTCCACACAGGCTGTCACCCAAGGGTGGAATCAAACCCGGGTTCCTGGCACTGTGAGGCAGCAGTGCTAACCACTGAGCCAGAGTGCCAGCCCTTTGTTCCTGTTATGTCCCATCACAAACCCAGCTATTCATAAATTCCACAACACTGGTGCACAGAATGGCTTTGAAATGTTACAATATGGGGAGGAATAAGATGATAAATGAAAGCAGATGCCTTTCCTTCCGCAGGCGGGGAGACTATGCAAAAATGTTCAAGAACAGTGTTGCCAGACATGTGTTGTTATGAGGATGCTTCATATTTAATATTTTGTGGAGGGCTTACATCTTGAAGGGTTATGGAAAAGTTGATTAATTTCAAGCTTTGTGAAAATACCTGGAACGGAATCTAGGATGGGCCGAAGGGCTAGAAGTTACTGATGATATTCGACAGCTGCATGAGAAAATAGATTGTACAGGATGGGAAAATAGGCCGGGAAAGTTAATGATGATACTTGACAAGTTGTGTGACCTTGAAAGAGTCCTGTGAAAATTCCTTTATGGGCTGAAGATGACACCTGCAGCTTGTTTTTCTGTACTAGCAAGCAGTTTTGACTTCTGTACCTGCTTTCTCTTGCTGGCTGTTTGTTATACTGTATAAGAGAGAGAAAGAGTTTCGTTCGGAGAGTTGGACTTCACCTCAGACCGGGATCGTGAACAGTGCCAGGAATGAACCTGAGCCTCCAGACCAGCGATCAATCGAGAGGTCCCCAAAGGGCAGAGGGACGTGAGACTTGTTGCTTTTTTCTCCTTTTCTGTTCCGTTTATTGTTACCACTGTAATCATTTATTATTACCACTATCATCATTATTATTACTTAATAAACATTCATATTAAAGCAAATTGCTGTGGTTGAGCCTTCTCTTAATTATATTTACCCGAATCTGAAAAGAACCCCACTTGGATACACTCTGTGATCCAAGACAAATGAGGAGATTAAAAGAGGTCATTGAAAGGTCACTTGTGGACATTGAAGATTATTTCTAACAAGGTTCTGCAGAACTCCATGACTGGTGATAACCACCTGATTTGGTGTATACCTTTGTTGGGATTATTAAACAGTGAGCGGATGGAAGGTATTTTAGTATCTGGTTGGGAGACAAGGAACTTACCAGGAAGAGTTGTGGATTTGTGGTTGCACGCATGTGTCTTTGCATATGGGTGTGTTTGTGTGTGCGTATTTTTGTATGCATGCAAATTTGTGTCTATTCACATTTGTATGAACACGATCATTTGTGTGCAGTTACATATGTGCATGTTTCTGTGCATTTTGTGTGCATGCATTTGTTTGTGTTTGTATGCATGCATTTGTGTGTGCCTGTTTGTGTGTGTACGTTTGCGTGTGTGCATGCATTTGCAGGTGTGTCAGTGCGTTTTGGCAGCATTTAGAAGGATAAGCATTTACATTTCTATAATATCAAGACTGTATGCTAGCCAAGGGTCTAGAGCAGCATCTTGATTGCAACAGTGTGGACAGTCCTTTCCCCTGTACTCACATTCGTGGATTTGTGCAAAGCTATAGGAGATCAGAAATCAGGGAAATGGGCAAGAAAATACATTAAAAAGCACAACAAATTAACAAAAGATCAGTCTGAATACAGTCTGCCTGGCTTTTTCCCCACTTGACTGATTGTGCATTCACTCACAGGGTTGGACTTCATCAACACAGTCCCCCTCAGCAGGCAGCTCCCGTATGATCTCATTATCATCCTCATTGATATCCAACCATCGGCCGCATTTGAAATTATATTTCTCCTTTGTTAGTGATTTCATTAGAGTCACCTGCAGTAAATCAGAGCACATGTACACATCAGGCCAGATGTTGGCTATTGAATCTAGAAACTTGAGTGATATAATTTCCCAACATGGCCATCCCCACCTCGATCTAAAGAGACACATTACACCTGGCTTATGGTCATTCTGCCTTTCAGGTTGTTAATGAAAATTGTTTTGTTGTTAAAATCTAAGTCACAGAGTTATTCTAACAATACGCTGCGTTCTAATTTATTTTTTCTTTGTTCGTTCACAGTATGAAGGTGTCACTGGCTAGGTCAGCATTTATTGCCCACACTCATTGTCCAAAGGGCAATTAAGGGTCAACCACATTGCTGTGGGTCTGGAGTCACATGTAGGCCAGGCCAGGTAAGGATGGCAGTTTCCTTCTCTAAAGGACATTAGTGAACCAGATGGGTTTTTCCCAACAATGGACAATGGATTCATGATCATCACTAAATTCTTAATTCCAGATATTTATTGAATTCAGCTCTTATTTCTGTTTTGTAAATATCATGACATTATGATCAAAACTGAGAATACTCCACGATGAAATCTCTTGACCTAATCATGGCAGTTGTTGATGTTAGGGGGCTCACTAAAAAAAGGATATTGTGGTGAAGGGGAATAAAATGCATCACTGCAGGCATGAGGAGATCACAGATAAAGAGTGGACATTGGGGGAGGGGGAAGAGTGAACATTAGGAGGGAAAGTAGACACCACGGTGGGGGGAGGAGTGAATATCACGGGTGCAAGTCATTATTGAGAATAGGAAATGACTTTGAAGAGGGGAGATTATATAGAGTTGAGTTTGATGATGACAAGATTAGATATGACAAACAAAAAATTATAGTTTCTGTTATCTGACACACAGTAATTTCTCTGTGGTAAACAGAGTTTTATCGTTGGATTATGTTTGCGTGAGTGTGTCTGTGTCTCCTTCATTCATGAAGAACTTAAACCTTGTTCACAGATGGTGCCAGACCTGCTTACTTTCTCCAGCAATTTATGTTTTTGTTTCAGCTCTTCAGCATCCATGGTTATTTGTTTTATTTGAGAGTTTTTATTTAGCCTGTTAATTACAAATAGATAGTTGTGTGTACAGTGCTGTTCCATAACCTGTAAATGGACAAGGATCTGTGGGGAGCTTTTATTTATACTATGGACTTCACACTGTCTTTTACGTGTGAGGTGGTGATTTTAATCATATGGATTGTTAATAGTCAATTTTGTGTGGAGAGCAGGTTTAATCTTGTAGAGTTTTGAATTGTAAATTCAGGCACAATTGACACAAACGTGGTGTTGGCCTTCATCCTGCAGATTGTGAATGAACTTGTAAGTGTGTGGTTGTTATTGTATGCTCTGTGAATAATCAGTTCTGTGTGTATGTGTTGGTATCTCTGTCTCAAGCACCAGAACCCTCTCATTTCACTGTGTCTTCCTCCAGTCTCAACAACATTCCTTATGTCTGTAACTGCCTGTAAGCCTAAAAGACGTGATTGTGACCAAGAAGATAGATGAAGGCAGAGTGGTGGATGTTGTCCACATGGACTTTAATAAGGTTTTTCACAAGGTTCTGTATGGTAGGTTGATTAGTAAGATTAGATCACATGAGATCTTGGGAGAGCTTGCCAATTGGATACAAAATTGGCTTGATGGTAGGAGACAGAGAGTGATAGAGGGTTATTATTCAGATTACAGATCTATGACCAGCGGTGTGCCGCAAGGATTGTTGTTGGGAACACGTGTGTTTGTAATTTATAGAAATGATTTGCATGACAATATAGGAGGCATGGTTAGTAAGTTTGCAGATGACACTAAAATTGGTGGTACAATGGACAGTTTTTATCTAAAATTACTTGAGACATCTTGATTAGCTGGACCAATGAGCTGTTGAGAGACAGATGGAGTTTAATTTAGATAAATGTGAGATGTTGCATTTTGGTAAGACAAACCAGGACAGGACTTATACAGTTAATGATAGGGCCTTGAGGAGTGTTGTCGAACAAAGAGTCAGACGAGTGTAGGTACACACTTCCTTGAAAGTGACATCACAGGTAGACAGGGTGGTGAAGAAGGCATTTGGCATGTTTGCCTTCATTGGTCAGAGCACTGAGTATAGGAGCTGGGACGCCATGTTATGGTGGTATAGCACATTGATGAGGCCACTTTTACAATACTGAGTACAATTCTGGTCACCCTGCAATAGAAAGGATTTTGTTAAACTGGAAAGGCTGCAGAAAACAGTTACAAGAATGTTACCAGGACTGGACGGTTTGGAGAGGCTGAATAGGCTGGGACTTTTTTCTCTGGAGCATCAGAGGTTGAGGTTTATAAAATCATGAAGGGCATAGATAAGGTGACTAGCCAAGGTCTTTTACCCAGGGTAGGGGAAACCAAAACTAGAGAGCATCGGTTTAAGGTAAGAGGGGAAAGATTTAAAAAGCACGTCGGGGCAACTTTTTCACACAGCTGGTGGTGCATATATTGAACAAGCTGCCAAAGGAAATGGTAGATATGGGTAGAGTTACAACATTTAAAAGTCACTTCGACATTTGCATGAATAGGAATGATGTAGAGGGTTATGAGTCAAATGCAAGCAAATGGGACTAGTTCAGTTTAGGAAACCTGGTTGGCATGAGCAGGTTGGACTGAAAGGTCTGCTTCTGTGCTCTTCAAATCTTTGACTATAGGTGGAATTTTGTGGAGGCAACAGTGGTCTGGGCCACCAGGAATGCTCATTGCATTTGACAGACCAGCAATATGCACAGTCCTCCAGAACAATCTGCAACCTCCTGGCCCAGCATATCCCCAATCAACTATTACCATCAAGCCAGGGGTTCAACCCTGGTTCAATGAAGAGCGCAGGAGGACGTGCCAAGAGCAGCACCAGGCATACCTAAAAAATGAGGTGTCAACCTGGTGAAGCTACCAAACAGGACTACTTGCATGCCAAACAGCGAAAGCAGCAAGTGATAGACAGAGCCAAGCAATTCCACAACCAGCAGATCAGATCTAAACTTTGAAGTCCTGCCACATCCAGTCCTGAATGATGGTGGATAATTAAACAACTCATGGGAACAGGAGTCTCCACAAACATCTCCGTCCTCAGTGATAGAACAGCCCTGCATATCAGTGGAAAACATAAGCCTGAAGCATTTGCAATAATCTTCAGCCAGAGGTGCTGAGTGGATGATCCATCTCAGCTTCCTCCGGTGGTCTCCAGCATCATAGATACCAATATTCAGCCAATTTGATTCACTCTACATGATATCAAGTGACATCTGGAGGCATTGAATACTGCAAAGGCTATGGGCCCTGACAACATTCCAGAATAGTACTGAAGACTTGTGCTCCAGGACTTGCCGCTCCCCTAGCCAAGCTGTTCTAGTACAGTTACAACACTGGTATCTACCCGACAAAGTACAATGTTGCCCAGGTATGTCCTGTACACAAAAAAGCAGGGCAAATCCAACATGGTCAGTTACCGCCCATCAGTCTATTCACAATCATCTGTCAGGTGACAGAAGGTGTCGTCAATAGTGCTATCAAGCAATACATAGTCAGCAATAACCTGCTCACTAACCCTCTTTTAGGGTTCCACCAGGACAACTCATCTCCTGACCTCATTACAGTCTTTGTTCAAACATGGACAAAACAGCTGAATTCCAAAGGTGAGGTGAGAGTGACAGACAAGGCTGCATTCAAATGAATATGGCAAGCAGTCTAGTGAAGCTGGAGTCAATGGGTATTGAGGGCAAACTGTCTGCTGGTTGGAGTCATGCCTGGCAGATGGAAAGACAGTTGAGGTTCTTGGAGGTCAATCATCTCAGTTCCAGGACATCCCTGCGGGAGTTCCTCAGGAGAGTGTACTTGGTCCAACCATCTTCAGCTGCGTCACAATGGCCTTCCCTCATCATAAGGTCAGAAGTGAATATGTTTGATGAACGATTGCACAGTGTTTAGCATCATTCATGACTCTTCAGATAGTCAAGCAGTCCATGATCAAATGCAATAAGATCTGTACAGTATCCAGGCTTCCGCTGACAAGAGGCAAATAATATTCATGCCACACGAACGCCAGACAATGACCATCGCCAATAAGAGACAATCTAACTACCGCCCCTTGACATTCAATGGTGTTACCATCACTGACTCCCCCACTCTCAACATCCTGGAGCTTACTATTGACGTCAACTGAATCCACCACATAACACAATGGCTGCTAAATCAGGTCAGTGGTTAGGATCACTGCAGTGAGTAACGCACTCCAGACTCCCTAAAGCCTGTCCACAAGGACCCACTTGCTTGGATAGGTGCAGCTCCAACAACACTCGAGAAGCTTGATATCATACAGGACAAAGCAGCACAACCACAAGCATCCACTCCCTCTGCTACTGACGCTCGGTAATAGCAGTGAGTACTGTCCAGAAGATGCACTGTAAAAATTCACCAAATTTTGTCAGCACCTTCCAAATCTACGACCACTTCCATCTGGAAGGACAAGGGGAGCAAATATATTAGAACAACACAACCTGCAAGTTGCCCTCCAAGCCACTCATTATCTTGACTTGGAAATATGTTGCCATTCCTTTGCTGTCATTGGGTCAAAATCCTGGAATTTCCTCCCTAATGGCATTGTGGGTAAAACTACAGCACATGGACTGCTGTGGTTCAAGAAGGCAAGCTCACCAACACATTCTCAAAGTCATCTAGGGATGGTCAATAAATGCTGACCAGCCATGTCCCACAAGTGAATACACAAAAACCTACCTCCCTGGGATCATGGACACAGGAACGGAATTCCCACCCATTGAAAGCATAACATTTCACCCTCTATGACATGGTGATATTTTGTTTTCTTTATGCATTCATGGGATGAGGGTTTCGCTGGCTAGGTCAGCATGCCCATCCCTAATTGCCCAGACAGCAGTTAAGAGTCAACCACATTGCTGTGGGTCTGGAGTCACATGTAGGCCAGACCAGGTAAGGATGACGGTTTCCTTCCCTAAAGGACATTAGTGAACCAGGTGGGTTTCTCCAATAATCGCCAACATATTCACAGTCATCATTAGATTCTTAATTCCAGATATTTTATTGAATTCAAATTCCACCATCTGCTGTGGCGGGATTTGAACCCCGGACCACAGAACATTATCTGGGTCTCTGGATTAACAGTCCGGCGATAATACCACTAGGCCATCACCTCCCACCGTTGCTACTGAGATGCTGCACACAAAGGACATTGCACAGTACTCAGTAAATGTCTGGTCCAAACCTATGGAAATCGGGGCAAGTTCACAATCAGACAGATTTTACTGCCCCCGGGAAGGAGTGGATTTGTTGTTTCTATTTCTAAGGATTTGTTATGCATCTCCAATTCCCCTTCAGAAAGTGTAGTGAACAATCTTAGAGTCATCATGTTTTACAGCACAGAATGAGGCCTTTCAGTCAATCATGTCCACGCTTGACATCAAACACCAATCTGGTCTAGTTCCATTTTTCAGCACAGCTTTGTATGCTGTAGTGCTTCAAGTGATTATCTAAATATTTCTTAAATGTTATGAGGGTTTCTGCCTCTACCACCCTTACAGTCAATGAGCTCCAGATACCCACCACCCTGGTGAAACAAATTCTTCCTTAAATCCTCCCTAGATCTCCTGCCCTTACTTTAAATCTATTCCACCAGTTATTAATCCATCTACTAAGGGGAAAAGCTTTTGCCTAACTACACAGTCTATGTCCTCATAATTTTGTAAACCTCGATCAGTTGCTTCCTCAACCCTGTCTAAGAGAAACAACCCCCACAGCCTCTTGTTGAACGATTGTAGTTCATCAGGTGTAGGTCCACCCCATACTGTGGGTCAGGAGCACGCCACCTTTAAGAAGTAAAAGTCAGTCACTTTGCTATGGACTTAAAATCAAATAGAAGTCACAAGGTTTTACACCAAACTGGCAGCTTCATGATGACCCACTTTGTTTCATGGTCAGTTTAAAACCATTTTAACTTGTTAATTCCAGTTTTATGAACTGACTAAATGTAAATTCCACCATACCTGCAGTGGGATTTGAACTCACATGTCTGCGGCGCTACTTCAGGCCTGTACTCCAGTAAAGTTACCATGACACTACCCTGTATGCCAATGCCTAGCCTTCTTCCATGTACTCATAACATTACAGGTTGATGACTCACTTTGTTCAGATGCCAACCAGCAAAAGGATGTCGTTTCTTGTGCCAGATTCTCAGCTTGTAAATGGTTCCCAAGTCTGGCAGTTCAATCTACAAAAGGCAAAAGACATATCAAGGGAATCTTCATAATTAATCCAAAGTGAATCAATTATGCTTTGTTTAATTCAATCCTGGTTTTTTAATATGCAGTGATGTGATTGGCTTAAACATGACTGAAAGTAGGCAAGTCCCATTGAAGTCCCATTGAAGCCACACTTCCCTGAGACAGGGATCTCACAGAACAGATCACTGTTGATCACTTCTTCAGTATTGTGAAGCTTGGCAATGAAAAGTTTAAAAGCCATGTACTTAAAATACCCAAACAAGGGTGTGGCTCAAAGTGGGAGGAACAATACTGAATTTCATGGTGCACCGTGCTGAATAATGAATGTCTTAGTTGTCCCACCCGTTCTTACGTTTCTCTTATTGTGCAGGAAGTTTGTTCCTCATCTATCTTGAACTACTCAACTCCGTTGCCTAATTATTTAATTTTCTAGAAATAATTACCTGCACTTGAAATTTCCTGTCCTGCTCTGCCAACATGAGTTTGGTGGATACCTACTGATGTGATTGCAAAGAGGTTGCACCTGAAATTACAAAGGTGCAACTGGAGAAACTGACGAAATTGTTAATGTACTTTTCATATCCTTAAGGATTTGAACTTGCAATCTTCTATCTCATAGGTGAAAGGAACAGATCTGGGTCAAACTGGCTTGCACTAAAAATAGAGAAAGATTTACCACTTCTGCTCTGCAATAGTCTAGTTAAGGAATGACAGTCAGTATTAATACAAGAGGAGATTTTCTTTGCATCTATAAGTACTAGTATGAAATAAACTATTGATAAACTAGAGATGAGCTAAGAAGAAAGCCAAGGCTGAGGTGTGATGCAGGGAAATGTGAAGGCCCTCTCGGTGACAAATGTAGGATGAGGATTGAAGAGATTAGTGGAGTGTCCAACAAGATAAGGTGATCAAAGGAGCAGAAGGTATATAAGGATTAGAGGAAGAAATAGAGATATGACTAAGTTATGTTCTTAGAAAGTATGGCTACCATCTGGGATATCTTGGGTAGATTCATTGCCATTAATGCTCTTGTTGGTATAAATCTAGGCTGTTACCTTATGACATCATAGGCAGAAAATAGGCTCCATCTTGATAAACCATAAATAGGCTTATTACATATAACTTAATAGCTAGTTACATTACATCTCGGATACAAGATAATCTTTTACAAAACAACAGGAATTGCTGGAAAATGTCAGCAGGTCTGACAGCAGCTGTAGAAAGAAATCAGAGTTAATGTTTCGGGACCAGTGACCCTTCTTCAGAAAATCTTCGTGATATTGTCTTGTTAGACAACAAGCTCAACTAAGAGTAGATTCACATTACTCCTGTAGCTAAAGTTGCCAATGCTGAGAATGATCGCTGAAACACCACACATCCTATGGGGAATACATAGAAAACTGCTCACCTCCTCATAGAAACCATCCTTTATAAGCTGATGAGCAGAGGTTTTTTTCTGTTCTCACAGTTGACCATTTTAAATACTAACTGTTTTATACAACAATTACTACCTTCTCGATTAAAGTTACAGGTGGACAATAAATGCTGGTCTTGCCACATCCCAGGAATGAATAAAATAAATAATGACCACAATATTGAAGCATTTCGGGTGAAGTTAGTCATGTAAAATATAATCAGGCCAGGAAGTTTCAACTAGGTGCGGTGAGACACAATAATTTTCTGTCAAAACCAGAAAGTGATGAATGGCAAGGGCCTTGTTAACATGGGAATGGATAATGTTAAGGAAAATATGGAACAGGGCAGTGATAAATTTATGAGCAGAATCCCAAGGGGTAATGGAGGGTAGGGTTAATAGCGCATGGTTACAGGAGAAACTATATGGGTAAATACCCATCAGGGCTGGAATTTCATGCCAAAGATACCTTTATGAATTTGCAGTACATTTGTAAAGTGGAGAAGTGGAGGACTTTGGTCACCTGAATACTGTCATTATTGGATTATTGTTCAATCCCACAGTGTATGTCACCCACCATAAACTTATCTGTTTGTCCCGTTTCAAAGTTGTCAGAGTTGTTGTCCAGGCACATCGCATCTGATTTCCTTTTGTCACCATATAGCTGGAGGAAAACATTTGCATCTGTTCCTGCATTCTTAATATCACTTGTCCAGATCCATAATGACCATGGATTTTCTAGTTTGAAGGAAGGAGACAGCTTCTTTTAAAATGTTCTGCAGCAGGTGAATAGGACAGAACTACTTCAAGCTGTAGAGGGAATAATATCCTTTACAACTTGGACCCCAATAATAGTTCACAGTACAGAAAGTCCTTGGATGTTCATGACCTAACATGTTCTAATTATTAAACCATTCCACCCACTGGTTGATATATTGAAACAGCATTATCAATGGATGCCCTGTTGCTTTATACATTGCCTTTAACATTCATTGACCCATACCATTCTCATGTGGATGTATGAAACAGCACTCATTTGCTGATAAGATAAATGGTGCAGACTAAGTTGACTGCAAAGAGTTTGTTACTCCAGGCAACTCTTCCCCAATGTCCGAGAACAATGTGCCAGCTACAGGTGACAGTCTGACTCTGGGCAGTGTACAATAATCAAATGATGTATTGACATAGGCATGCAGCTCTAATCAAATTTTCTCTCCCTATTGTCACATGGCTAGACCCATTTTTCTTTCATCCACCCATCTGACCTTATCTTATTGTTGGTATAGAATCATAGAATCCCTACAGGCCATTCAGCCCAATGAGTCCACACTGCCCCTCCGAAGAGATCCCACCCGGACCAACTCCCCTAACCTAAACATCCCTGGGCACTACAGGTAATTTAGCATGGCCAATCCACCTATCCTGCACATCTTTGGACTGTGGGAGGAAACCAGACCACCCGGAGGAAACCCACGCAGACACGGGGAGAATGTGCAAACTCCACAAAGACAGTTGCCCAAGGTTGGATTCAAACCCGGGTCCTTGGTACTGTGAAGCAGCAGTGCTAACCACTGAGCCACCGTGCCGCCTCTATCACTGATGCTGGAAGAGAATCAACAGCCTGGCAACTTCTCCTGAATATTTGCTCTGCTCAATAATTATAGCCATCCATGGATGCAAGCAGTGCTACTTGTGCATTTATCAGTTGCATAGTCATCTGTGGGAGAATGGAGGCAGTAGTGTTAATTAAAATGAGAGAGAATTGTAAAGGCGTCAAACAACTTGAGGAACAAACGGGTGAAAGAATGACAGAGTTAGTGAACTGCGAGGTTCTGTCATGTTTCACTGATGGCCTTGAGTCTGTCAGTGGTGAGGAGGATATCCATTATCCCCGAAGAAACTAGGAGTCCCCAAAGTATCTACTGACAAGTCTGTGGGAAAGGTATGTCTGTGCTCCCCTGAACTGCAATAGCAGAAAAGTATCAATGGTCTGGTGGTGAAGGTAAGTTCAATTGATTTGATTTGATTTGATTTATTGTTGTCACATGTACCTAAGTATAGTGAAAAGTTTTGTTGTGTGTGCAGTACAGGCAGATCATAACATACAAGGACATAAAGATCATAGGATGTTTAGACAGAGTGAGGCATGCAAGGTTACGGCTGCACAGGAGGTGCACAAAAGCAAGATCAATGTTAGATTTGAAATTAGAGAAGTCTAGTCAGCATTCTAATAACAACAGGGAAGAAGCTGTTCTTAATTAGAATTAGAATCCCTACAGTGTGGAAACAGGCCCTTCGGCCCAACAAGTCCACACCGAACCTCAGAGCATCCCACCCACATCCATCCCCCTATGACCCACCTAATATACACCCTCTACCTCCCTGAACACTACAGGCAATTTAGCATGGCCAATCCACCTAACCTGCACATCTTTGGACTGTGGGAGGAAACCAGAGCACCCGGAGGAAACCCACGCAGACACGGGGAGAATGTGCAAACTCCACACAGACAGTCACCCGAGGCTGGAATTGAACCCAGGTCCCTGGCACTGTGAGGCAGCAGGGCTAACCACTGTGCCACCGTGTTGAACCTGTTGGTGTGTGTGTTTAAGCTTCTGTAACTTCTGCCTGATCGAAAAGACATTCAAAAGGGCATTTGATGTCTATTTGGATAGAAATAATGGGCAAGTGTATTGGGAAAAAGCAGGAAATTGGCAATAGGTAATCATGCTTATCTGGAGAGTCAGTGCAGACATGATAGAACAAATGATATCTTTCTACATCATTACACTCTTGCGACCTAACTTCAGATGTTAAGTTTAGAGGATAGCGCTTATATCCTCAGCTCCATGTTCAGTTTTATTATTTACAGCACTGTCACCAGTGACTAACCATTCTCACTAACATTCAGTCACTGATAATCACTTTACTGCACTTCATTAAAGTTTCTTTTCCATATACCCAGATACCCACCACTATTTCAATCTTCACTTCCTCACAACTCACATCCCGCACACAGATTATCAGCTATTCCATTAAGACATTCACTAAACACCATACAAGACTTTTGGGAACAAGCCCCCCTCCTTCTTGCAGGAGAGGGTAGTGGACAATAACAGGCACAATGTGCCATTGGAGGAGCATATCTGCCTGCATCTTGAAGAGAGCACATTGGGCATAATAGACTGAGGCAAAGCTGAGCTCACAGTCTCTGGTAATGCTGGCAGAGACATTGTCCAGGGTTACTGAAAACCTAATCTCCTTTCTCTCTTTGCTGATCAAAGATCAAACCATGCAATCACAAGATCTAACGAGAAAATCATATGAGATGAGGCTGCACTGGTGATTGCTTATTGGAATCAGGGCCGCTCCATTTTTTGGTCCTTTTCTGTCTGAATTCTATTGCCTGGAAAGATTCTGCAAAAAATTGCTACATACTTTTCTGTCTCTTCTGTCGCAGTGAAACCATTTCATAGAGTTCACGCTCAATCAGTCCATCCCCTTCATCTTCATCAAGCCACTTTCTGCAGGGAAATGTCTGTTCAATGCCAGTGAATGCACAGTAAACTATAATCTGTGTAGATCAAAAAGAGACTGTTGAAAATCTGTTGAACAAATAATGAGTGAAACATATCCTGGAATTTATTAATTGCAAAGTTTTACAGTTATGTCATGGCCAGGCTCCAATGTTTTGAAATACATAAATATTTTATATGCAATAATGTAAGTTAAGATTGCGAGGTACATAAAATACAGCTGTTTGGTATATAGCACATGCAAGAAAATATTGCTAGGAATGCAGCACACTCTGAATAGCACATTGGCAGGACCGTATACATAGGTTCAAATGTGCTAACCAGGATATTGCACAGGTCAGAGGAGTATGCATGGTCACATACAGAATATCACGTAGTTGGACTGTGTAACATTTTGTAGTGTGTTACGCACAGAAAAAAATACACGTGATTGAAATATGTTACATATATTGAATGGAACATGTTGCATATGTGGAGTGTGTTACAAGGAAATAACAAAATGCAGACTTCGAGGTTGAACTGTGAGATTAAAGAAAGGGTATTTTAAGAGTTGAATTTCTCCTAAAGACACATGGCTACTCCATGGATTATAATTAACTTGTAAGCATAATTCTAGCACTTATTCGACTGCTTTCTGTTATATCTTTTTGTTGTACCCTTGCCTTATGTCCTACAAAGCACATTCTGCATTTACAATTCCTCAAGCAACTCTGACCACAGAAACAGCTGAATGAAGCTGGACATATCTGGACATGGACAAAAGTCTTACCTCGCGTGATTGCGGCCTTTCAGTTGTTTCAGCGGCGGGAGTCCGGGAGGAAGCGCAAGGGCAGCCTGGGAAGGTAAGCTTTTCGATGATAAAAGACTTACCTCGTGTGACTGCGGCCTTTCAGTTGTTTCAGCGGTGGGAGTCTGGGAGAAAGCGCGAGGGCAGCCTGGGAAGGTAAGCTTTTCGATTATAAAAAGGTAAGTTAATCCTTTAAAAACTTACCTCATGAATAGGCAGAGCGCACACTGAGCAGGAGCGGACACGGGACGGCTGAGTAAGTGAGGTAATATATTTGGGCGGTTGCTTTACCCGAAACACTACTTAGGTAGTGTCTCCCACCCATCCTCCTCCTCTAACCAAAACAAAAGGTTCTGAGTGCCGATTTGGTAAGGTAACTAGTGTTTTTTTTCTTTTTTCAATACTCTGTTTGGGAATTCAGAACAGTGGGAATGGGTGTTAGGGCAGTTGCATGCTCCTCCTGTAGAATGTGGGAGGTAAGGGTCACTACTAGTGTCCCCACTGACTTCATCTGCGGGAAGTGCACCCAACTCCAGCTCCTTGGAAACCGCGTTAGGGAACTAGAGCTGGAGCTGGATGAACTTCAGATCATTTGGGAGGCTGAGGGGGTAATTGAGAGGAGTTACAGGGAGGTAGTCACACCTCAGGTACAGGGCAAAGGTAGATGGGTTACAGTCAGGGGACAGAAAGGGAACAGGCAGACAGTGCAGGGATCCCCTGTTCCCCTCAATAACAAGTATACCGTTTTGGATACTGTTGGGGGGGACGACTTACCAGGGGTAAGCTATGGGGTACAGGTCTCTGGCACAGAGTCTGTCCCTGTTGCTCAGAAGGGAAGGGGGGAGAGGAGGAGAGCATTAGTCATTGGGGACTCCATAGTTAGGAGTACAGATAGGAGATTCTGTGGGAACAAGAGAGACTCGTGGTTGGTGTGTTGCCTCCCAGGTGCCAGGGTCCATGATGTCTCGGATCGTGTTTTCGGGATCCTTAAGGGGGATGGGGAGTAGCCCCAAGTCATGGTCCACGTAGGCACCAACGACATAGATAGGTAAAAGGATGGGGATGTAAGGCAGAAATTCAAGGAGCTAGGGTGGAAGCTTAGAGCTAGAACAAACAGAGTTGTTATCTCTGGTTTGTTACCCGTGCCACGTGCTAGCGAGGCGAGGAATAGGGAGAGAGAGCAGTTGAACACGTGGCTCCAGGGATGGTGCAGGAGGGAGGGATTCAGATACCTGGATAATTGGGGCTCATTCTGGGGTAGGTGGGACCTCTACAAACGGGATGGTCTACACCTGAACCAGAGGGGTTCCAATATCCTGAGGGGGAAATTTGCCAATGCTCTTCGGGAGGGTTTAAACTAATTCAGCAGGGGGATGGGAACCTGAATTGTAGCTCCAGTATACAGGAGGTTGAGAGTAGTGAGGTCATGAATAAGGTTTCAAGGTCGCAGGAGTGTACTGGCAGACAGAAGGTGGTTTGAAGTGTGTCTACTTCAATGCCAGGAGCATCCGGAATAAGGTGGGTGAACTTGCAGCATGGGTTGGTACCTGGGACTTCGATGTTGTGGCCATTTCGGAGACATGGATAGAGCAGGGACAGGAATGGTTGTTGCAGGTTCCGGGGTTTAGATGTTTCAGTAAGATCAGGGTAGGTGGTAAAAGCGGGGGAGGTGTGGCGTTGTTAGTCAAGGACAGTATTACGGTGGCAGAAAGGACGTTTGATGAGGACTCGTCCACTGAGGTAGTATGGGCTGAGGTTAGAAGCAGGAAAGGAGAGGCCACCCTGTTGGGAGTTTTCTATAGGCCTCCGAAAAGTTCCAGAGATGTAGAGGAAAGGATTGCAAAGATGATTCTGGATAGGAGTGAAAGTAACAAGGTAGTTGTTATGGGGGATTTTAACTTTCCAAATATTGACTGGAAATGCTATAGTTCGAGTACTTCAGATGGGTCAGTTTTTGTCCAATGTGTGCAGGAGGGTTTCCTGACACAGTATGTAGATAGGCCAACAAGAAGCGAGGCCACATTGGATTTGGTACTGGGTAATGAACCAGGCCAGGTGTTAGATTTGGAGGTAGGTGAGCACTTTGGTGATAGTAACCACAATTCGGTTACATTTACTTTAGCGATGGAAAGGGATAGGTCTATACCGCAGGGCAAGAGTTATAGCTCGGGAAAAGGCAATTATGAGGCGATCAGGCAAGTTTTAGGATGCATAGGATGGAGAAGGAAACTGCAGGGGCTGGGCACAATTGAAATGTGGAGCTTGTTCAAGGAACAGCTACTGCGTGTCCTTGAGAAGTATGTACCTGTCAGGCACGGAGGAAGTGGTAGAGCAAGGGAACCGTGGTTTACTAAAGAAGTTGAATCTCTTGTCAAGAGGAAGAAGGAGGCTTATGTAAAGATGAGGCGTGAAGGCTCAGTTAGGGCGCTTGAGAGTTACAAGTTAGCCAGGAAGGACCTAAAGAGAGAGCTAAGAAGAGCCAGGAGGGGACATGAGAAGTCTTTAGCAGGTAGGATCAAGGAAAACCCGAAAGCTTTCCATAGGTATGACAGGAATAAAAGAATGACTAGAGTAAGATTAGGGCCAGTCAAGGACAGTAGTGGGAAGTTGTGCGTGGAGTCCGAAGAGATAGGAGAGGCGCTAAATGAACATTTTTCGTCAGGATTCACACAGGAAAAAGAAAATGTTGTCGAGGAGAATACTGAGATACAGGCTATTAGACTAGACGGGATTGAGGTTCATAAGGAGGAGTTGTTAGCAATTCTGGAAAGTGTGAAAATAGATAAGTCCCTTGGGCCGGATGGGATTTATCCTAGGGTTCTCTGGGAAGCTAGGGAGGAGATTGCAGAGCCTTTGGCTTTGATCTTTATGTCGTCATTATCTACAGGAATAGTGCCAGAAGACTGGAGGATAGCAAATGTTGTCCTCTTGTTCAAGTAGGGGAGTAGAGACAACCCTGGTAATTATAGACCAGTGAGCCTTACTTCAGTTGTGGGTAACGTGTTGGAAAGGATTATAAGAGATAGGATTTATAATCATCTAGAAAGGAATAATTTGATTAGGGATGTTCTTTGAGAAGGTGACCAAACAGGTGGATGAGGGTAAAGCGGTTGATGTGGTGTATATGGATTTCAGTAAAGCATTTGATAAGGTTTCCCATGGTAGGCTATTGCAGAAAATACGGAGGCATGGGATTGAGGGTGATTTAGCGGTTTGGATCAGAAATTGGCTAACTGTAAGAAGACAGAGGGTAGTGGTTGATGGGAAATGTTCATCCTGGAGTTCAGTTACTAGTGGTGTACCTCAAGGATCTGTTTTGGGGCCACTGCTGTTTGTCATTTTTATAAATGACCTGGATGAGGGCGTAGAAGGATGGGTTAGTAAATTTGCGGATGACACTAAAGTTGGTGGAGTTGTCGATAATGTGGAAGGATGTTGCAGGTTACAGAGGGACATAGATAAGCTGCAGAGCTGGGCTGAGAGGTGGCAAATGGAGTTTAATGCGGAAAAATGTGAGGTGATTCACTTTGGAAGGAGTAACAGGAATTCAGAGTACTGGGCTAGTGGTAAGATTCTTCGTAGTGTGGATGAGCAGAGAGATCTTGGTGTCCATGTGCATAGATCCCTGAAAGTTGCCACCCAGGTTGATAGGGTTGTTAAGAAGTCGTACGGTGTGTTAGGTTTTATTGGTAGAGGGATTGAGTTTCGGAGCCATGAGGTCATGTTGCAGCTGTACAAAACTCTGGTGCGGCCGCACTTGGAGTATTGCGTACAGTTCTGGTCACCGCATTATAGGAAGGATGTGGAAGCATTGGAAAGGGTGCAGAGGAGATTTACCAGAATGTTGCCTGTATGGAGGGTCCGTCTTATGAGGAAAGGCTGAGGGACTTGAGGCTGTTTTCGTTAGAGAGAAGAAGGTTAAGAGGTGACTTAATAGAGACATACAAGATGATCAGACGATTAGATAGGGTGGACAGTGGGAGCCTTTTTCCTCGGATGGTGATGGCTAGCATGAGGGGACGTGGCTTTAAATTGAGGGGTGATAGATATAGGACAGATGTCAGAGGTAGGTTCTTTACTCAGAGAGTAGTAAGGGTGTGGAATGCCCTGCCTGCAACAGTAGTAGACTCGACAACTTTAAGGGCATTTAAATGGTCATTGGATAAACATATGGATGATAATGGAATAGTGCAGGTTAGACGGGCTTCAGATTGGTTTCACAGGTCGGCGCAACATCGAGGGCCGAAGGGCCTGTACTGCGCTGTAATGTTCTATGTTCTATGTTGTTATGAAGTGGAGAAAAAGTAACAGTTAAAGCTCTTTCATCTACAGCTGATCTTTTATTGGATGGTTGCAAAGAGTATGACGTGATGAAATTTGTCATATGTTGCAGATTGTACGGGAGAATTTGAAAGGTGAGTTCAGAACCACCTAATCTGATGGACAGAAAACCACATTATTATTTATTAATAAGAAGAAAGCTCTTCCCTCGGCTCTCATGAATTAATTTTGTAAGTAAGTCAATTTTACATCTGATATATAAAATCAGATGGTTGGACTTTTATATGCAATGATGTTTGTTTTTTAAATGATCCACCTGATTGACTATGATTTCAAATACTGACTGGTTATGGCACAGAATGGGATTATAATGTTGTGTTAAACTATTGTCAATCCATGAGGTGTGTGGTGACGCATTATTTTATGTATGTATATTGTTCTTTATACTTGGTAAAGGTTCAAAACATTTGGGAGTTTAAAAATGTTATCCACTGGATATTGTTATTCCATTTCTTACCTTTTCACAGAACCATCCTGAACTGACACCACAGTTATCATGGCCGATGGTAACTCTGCTCAGCGGGCTGAGGAGGGCAGCCAGCTCCACATTAAAGATGTCTGTTATGCCACGTTCAAACTGGCCGCCTTCTAAGAAGATTTTTCCACTGTTTTTAAGACCCTTGGATCCGTGGAGAATGATGTGTACTTTTGAGTTAGTCCCAGCTCCTCTGATGTCACCAGTTACTACAGAAACATTGTAAACAATCCCTGGAAAATCAATTTTGATTCTAAAATTAGGAGAAGATTGATGTGTTGCTGATAGAGGAAAGTAGTACAATTCATTAAAGAATCTTAACCAGAGAGTCACTAGTTCAGATCAATTCTGACAATGAACCATCCTCTGAAAGAAAGGCGCAGGCATATTAGAACAGCAGCTCTAGTATGTGAATCTGAATGCAGGCCAGATACTTCCAATGATCCACAATGGTTTGGAACAGCCTCAATTTTCAAAGGGTTACATATCACTTTGGGAAGAATTGCAAGGAGTTCTCTTGGTGTCCTGACGAATACGTCTGTTTCAACCCACACTACCAAAACAAAAGCTACCTAATCATTCATTTCAATACTGTTTGTTGGATTTTGTTGTGCCCATTATGTGGTTGCTGTGCAGCCTTCCTAACAAAGGCAATTAATTGCATGTGTTTCCTTTAGGACTTGATGAAAAATGTGGTAAAGGGTTACATAAATGCAAATGAGTTATACTCCTGGCAAGCTTAGACAGGGTGGAAAGATTTATCAAGAACAGGGATGAGGGACTTCAGTCATGTGGAGAGATTACGGGGGAAATGGGGTTGATCTTCTTAGAGAAAAGAAGGTTAAGGTTTAATACAAGCATTCAAAATCATGAGGAGTTTTGATATGGTAGATAAGAAGAAAACTGTTCTCATTGGCGGGGGTGGGGGGCAACAACCTGAGGACACAGATTTCAAATAATTGGTAAGAGAACCAGAGAAAGATGAAGCTAAAGATTTTATGCATTGAACTGGAATGTATGATAAGAAAGGCAGAAGCAGATTCAATTGTAACTTTCAGAACAGCATTGAATAAATGTTTTGCAGAGCTAAGGAAAGCAAACAGGGGAGTAAGAATAGAGTTAATGAGTCATACTGCAAAGAGGACTTTTGGCCCATTGGGTCTGCACTGATCTATCTACATGAATCCCACTTTCCAGCACTTGGCCCATAGCCTTGAATGTTATGGTGTTTTAAATGCTCATCCATGCACTTTTTAAAGATTATCCTATAGCTCTTTCAAAGAATCTACACATGCATGAGAAGCTGAATGGCTTCTTTCTGTGCTGTATATTGCTATGATTCAAGCTGAGTGCAGGGTGTGAAACTGTATAAAGCACAATGCAAATCAAATTGGCACAAATTAAAGTATCTTCCACAGATAGTCCACAACACAGTCCTAATGTGCAAAATCAAAATTATGCATGGGTGTCGTGACCGGGAAGAGTGAAGGGAACAAAAACAAAGTTGCTGGAAAAGCTCAGCAGTTCTGAGGAAGGGTCACCCGACCCGAAACGTTAACTCTGTTTTTTCCTTCACAGATGCCGCCAGACCTCTGAGCTTTTCCAGCAACTTTGTTTTTGTTCTTGATTTACAGCATCTGCAGTTCTTTCAGTTTTATTTAAGAGTGAAGGGAACTTGCTTCTTCATCTAATCCATAATATATTGTCTGGGAGTACATAGTGACATGGGGTGCTGAATCAGAAATGTTCTAAACCAGTGTTGAAATGGCCTGTTCTATCAATTGTAACATTCACACAAAAGATAAATACAATACAACCAAATAAAACATGGATCAAAAAATATAACTCCACTTTCCAAACCATTGACTGTAATGCCAGACTGTAATAAATATCCTTCATAATCATTTAGACCACATGAAATTGTTGTTTAAGAACAGTATGAATGATCATTTCAGTAGAAGGGTTACAAAATGGAAGTAAAACACTGCGGATGCTGAAGATTTGAAATAAAAACAGAAATTGTTAGAAAAGCTCAGCAGGTCTAGTTGTATCACTGGATAGCAAGAGAGAGAGTCAACATTTTGAGTCCAATGACTCATCTTCAGAACAGTGGGTGCCCCAAACAAGAGTCATACTGGACTCGAAACTTTAACTCAGATGCTCCCTCCACAGATGCTGCCAGACCCGCTGAGTAACTCCGGCACTTTCTTTATAACAAAATAACAGGAAAGCTTAAAAAACAGACTGAGTACTCAGAGAATCAAGAAAACATCTTTTCATAGAATCCCTACAGTGTGAAAACAGGCCATTCGGCCTATCGAGTCATAACAACTCTCCAAAAAGCATCCCACCCAGATCCAAACCCCTACCCTATCCCTGTAACCCTGCATTTCCCATGGCTAATTTACCTAGCCTACACATCCCCAGATGACCAATCCATGTAACATGCACCTGAGTTCAAATTCCGCCATGGCAGATGGTGGAATTTGAATCCAATAAAAATCTGGAATTAAGAATCTAGTGATGACCATGAATCCATTGTCAATTGTTGGGAAAACCCATCTGGTTCATTAATGCCCTTTAAGGAAGGAAACCGCAATCCTTACCTGATAAAAACCAAAATAACTGCGGATGCTGTAAATCAGGAACAAAAACAAAGTTGCTGGAAAAGCTCAGCAGTTCTGAGGAAGGGTCACTGGACCCAAAACGTTAACATTATCTCCTTCACCTATGCTGCCAGACCTGCTGAGCTTTTCCAGCAACTTTGTTTTTGTACCATCGTTACCTGGTGTGGCCTACATGTGATTCCAGACCCACAGCAATGAGGTTGACTCTTAACTGCCCTCTGGGTAATTAGGGATGGGCAATAAATGCTGGCCTAGCCAGTGATGCCCTCATCCTGTGAACGAATAAAGAAAAAATATTTTTGGACAATGGAGGGGAAACCAGAGCACCCAGAGGAAACCCACGCAGACACAGGGAGAATGTGCAAACTCCACACAGTCACCCGAGGCTGGAATTGAACCCAGATCCCTGGCACTGTGAGGGAGCAGTGCTAACCACTGAGCCACCATGCTGCCCCAATTCTTTGCACTCTTCGTACAAAGGATTGTAGCTGGATCTTTCTCTTTGCTGGCACTGGGGGAAGGCTATGCATCGTTAAATTCCTAACTACTCATTCTCACCTGTTGTCTGACTTCCGCCAAGCAGAATGTCGCGTTGAATTTTACCATCATCTTCATCCAGTGCAAACCAACGATTCACTGGGAACTCATGTACAGTTTTATTTCCAATATCATCTATGATCACCTAGAAGATGCAAGTCAGAAGACTGATGATTAAGTTGAAGTTCGGAAATGTTTTGTATGTAAAAACAAAAACCCAGGTTGTTGAGTTTCCAAAACTTGCCTTCACATTATGTAGGAGCATGACAGAACCCAACCAGTATTTTTGGGAATGCATCCCACACTCATCCCAAATCCCTGGGTTCAGTCATGACTGGGGCATGCTTTTCAGTGGGGTGGGTGAGAGACATCATTATGGTGCCTTGCAGCAGCTCAAGAAGCTGGTAGAAAATCTTCAACTGATTACAAAATCTTTCAAGTTTTGAATTTTTCAATTATTTGATGCTAATCAATCGCTCTTCGAATAATTGTTGAAAAGATCAAAAATTTCAAATTTTCACTGGCCTAACTACTAAGGGGTGCAACAAAAGCTATTTGCATTTATTCAGCATCTAAAAAAAATTCCCAAAGTGAGAAGCATTATTGAACAAATATTGATCTGCAGCCACTTATTAGCTTAGTAAAAGTGTTAGGTTTTAAAGAGTGCCTTAAAGGAGCTGGTGACAGAGAGAGTTGGAAAGGTTTAGGGATGGAATTCCAAGGCTAACAGGTCTCTGTTTTGTCATTCTTAAACACTGGGATTACATTTTCAACCTTCCAATCTGCAGGCACCATAGCAAATTAATAGAAATTTGGAACATGTTCACCAAGCCATTCACCATCTACAGCTATTTCTTTCAAAACTCTAGGGTGAAGATCACTGAGTCCTGGGGATTTGTAAACTTCGAGTCCCATTAATTTCTCCAATACTACTTTCTTTAACTAATACTAATTGCTTACAGTTCCCCACACTCACTTGATCGTTGGATCTCAATTATTAAAGGGAGACTGACTCAAAGTACTTACTTAGCTTCTCTGCAATTTCTCTATTTCATTGATAAATTCTCCCATCTCTGCCTATAACTGACTCAAATTTGATTTTGCTAGTTCTTATACAAGTGGAAATTGGGCAGGTTTACTGATGGGTGTCATGGATCAAGCACTTGAATGCAAACACAGAGGGAAGATGTGGGAGTAACATTGGGCAGTTGGCAGGGGCAGGACACGGGAGCAGTGATAGGCTGAACTAGCAGGATTCCCTATGCATCATATTATTCAATGGATTATGCTTTGTGTGACATTCACATGAAAAGGAGTGCAGGCACAAGCAGTGGTTACCTGCGACCTAACCGTAATTGGAAAATCAAAAGGAAAGGGACAGAGATTTATCGAACTGTGAGGCATTACAAACTCATCATTTTAGTGAGATCAAACCAACATGCTAACTTTCTCAAGTCCATCAAACCCCACTTTTATTCTACTGGCATCTCACGACATTGTCCCCATCAATGATGTCTCAGAGAATTTAGATGATTAACCAATAAATGTTCAACCTGGATGAAGATGTTCCCATCTAGCTTGCAGATTTCTGAAGTTTTAATTTGGATGTTAGTTTCCAGATATCCACAAAACCTGGATTAGTAACTAAGGAGTAAGGAATGGCAAATGTAGTCCCAATGGGCAAAGAAGACACCAAGGTGAAATCCTAGTGACAACCAATGAATTAAGCTGACCTTCAGGAAAATCTGTTGTTGAGGGGTGAGGAACCTGTTTTGCTACTATAACTGAATATTTGAAAAGTGCATGCATCACTTGACATGCTCAGTTTAGTTTTATGAGTAAAGGAGGCTCATTTTCATTTCAAGGATTTGAGGATCCTAACTTTGAGGTTGGACGGTCTAAACACTTGTCCCAGTTGATGCAAGTAAATAATCAAATAAAAAAGCACCCTCAATGAATTCCCTTCCCTCAGATGGGGCCTTATTGTAAGTGATGAGGATGGAAAACAAGCTTAGTTGGCAAAGAAAGCTGCTCAGCACTTTTAGGGAGCCAGCACAGACAATATGGAGAAAATGGCTTTAATCTGTGCAGTCTAATTCCATAATGCCATGCTTCTGGCTCAGTAGGTGACCTATACTATTTAGGAGAAATGAGAATGCCTGAGAATGTTTGATGGCAGCTTTAAGAAAAGATAGATACCTTATCCAGGAACCAGCCAGCTGAGGATCCTTTGCTATTGTGACCAATCGTAATTTTTTTCAGGCGTCCCAGATTGGGTGACTCAATTGTGAACTTGTCTTCACTTCCTCTTTCAAAATTGTCTTTGTCATTGTCCAGTCGTCTTTCTCCTAAAGAAAACTAAACTTAGGATAAAAGATTTACTAAAAGCTTATCTTTAAGTACATAAGACAGAAGAGAGAGGACAAAATAGACATAGGCCCCTTAGAAAATGAACCTGGGGAGACAATTTTGGGAATAAGGAAACAGCAGAATTAAACAAATATTTTCTATCAATCATATAGAATCCCTACAGTGTCAAGGCAGGCCATTCAGCATCCCACCCAGATCCAACGCCCTACCCTATCCATTTAATCCATTACCCATCCACCTTGCCTGCACATCCCTGGACACTATGGGCAAATTAGCATGGCCAATCCACCTAACCTGCACATTATTGGACTGTGGGCAGAAACCAGAGCATCTGGAGGAAATGCACGCAAACACAGGGAGAACATGCAAATTCCACATAGACAAACGCCCAAGGTGAGAATCAAAACCAGGCCCCTGGCACTGTGAGGCAGCAGTGCTAACCTCTGAGCCACGATACCACCCATGGTCTTTACAATAGAAGATGCTATGAACATTCCATTAATACTAAAGAATACGGACGGAGTTAAGTACCATCACCATAAATAAAGAAGTATCATTAGACAAACTAATGAGGCTAAAGGCAGGTAAGTCTTGGCCCCAGTGGCTGGGATCCTGGGATCCTAAAAGAGAGAGCTACACAGATAGTAGATGCATTGGTTGTAATTTTCCAAAAAAAATGGATTCTGCAGTAGTACAAGCAGATTGGGAAACTGTGAATGTGACATCTCTATTCAAAAAGGGAGGGAGGCAAAAAGTGGGTAATTATAAGTGGATTAGTCTATCATCTCTGGTTGAAAAAAATATCGGAATCTATTATTAAGGAAATGATAGCAGAACATTTGGAAAATCATAACCTAATCAAGTTGAGTCAGCATGACTTTATGGAAAGGAAGTTGTGTCTAACTAATTTATTAGCGCTTTTCGAGGAAGTCTCAACCAGAGTAGATAGAGGGGAACCAGCAGTTTATTGTATTTGGACTTCCAGAAGATGTTCAGCAAAGTACCTCACAAAATGTAAAGTTATATGATAAGAGCCCACCGTGTTGGAGGTAGTATACTGCTTAATAGAGAATTGGCTCATGGGCGGGAAACAACAAGTGGGGTAAGCGGTTCTTTTTCAGTTTGGTAACCCATACCAGTGGGGTTCCACGTGGAACAGTACTGGGACCGCAACTGTTTGCAATATATATTAATGACTGGGCAGAAAGCAGAGAATGTACCATAGCAAAATTTGCAGAGGACACAAAAAATTGTGGAAAGGCAGGTTGTGAGGGGGATACAAACAGTTAACAGAGAGGTATTGATACGTTAAGTAATTGGGCAAAATGTTCGTAAATGGAGCATAATGTGGGAAAACTCAAAGTTGTTCATTTTGGAAGGGAGAACAAAAGAACAGTATTATTTAAATGGACAGAAACTGCAGAAAGCTGCAACACAAAGGCACTTGGCAGTAGCTGTGCACAAAACACAGAAACCCTCACACAGGTGCAGCAGGTAATCAGGAAGGCTAATGGAGTATTGGCCCTTATTTCAAGGGGCTGGAGTATAAGAGTAGGAAAGTCTTATTGCAACTGTACAAGATGCAGGTGAGACCACATCTGGAGTAATGTGAACAGTTTTGGTCCCATTATTTAAGGAATGATATTATTTCATTGGAGGCAGTTTAGAGCAGGTTCACTAGAATGACACACCCCCATCCCCCACCAACACCCCCTCCCTCCTGCACCACCCCCGGTAAGGAGGGATTGTATTATGAACAAGAGACACAACACGTTGGAACTCTACACACTGGAGTTTAGAAGAATGAAAGGTGACATCACTGAAACATGTAGAAATCTTAAATGACTTGACATGGTATATGCTGAGAGGGTGTTTACCCTCATGAAAGAGTCTAGAATCAGAGGGCATAATCTCAGAATAAAAGGGTGCCAATTTAAGACTGAGATGAGGAGGCATTTCTTCTCTCAGAGTGTTGAGTGTCCTTGGAACTCCCTACCACAGGGAGCTGTTAGGATAGAGTCCTTGTGTATGTTTAAGGCTGAGATAGGTAGGTTCTTGATCAGCTGACAAATCAAGGGTCATGGGTAAAGGGCGGGAAAGTGGTCATGAGGAATATCAGATCAGCCATGATGCTATTGAATGATGGAGCAGGTTTGAGGGCCTGAATGGCCTACTCCTGTTCCTATTTCTTATGATCACGTCACTTAAATTGGTAGCAGGATTTGTGAGAACTCAGAAATCTCCTCAGAGCCTGTGTATGATTTTAAGTATTTTTTTCTGAGCATACTGTACTGCTATGTATTGAGTTTATTAATACATCAATTCCCTTGTAAAGTTTCACAATACAAAGGAAGTAGAGAAGTGGCCTTTTCTCAGATCAGTACCAATCCTGCTTTCAAATAGACATCTATTTAAACAGCACTTTGTGAACCACTGCAGTATGCAGGGTGTCAGTGTAGACACAGCACTTTCTGTGGTTGTTCAATACAACTGAGTGGATTGCCAGGCCATTTTACAAGGCAGTTACCAGTCAACCACATTGTTGTGAATCTGAAGTCACATGTAGGCCAGACAGGATGGCAGATATCTTCTCCTGAATGACATCAGTGAACTTTTATGATATTTTCTAACAATCTTGTAGTTTCACAATCATTACTAATGTGAACAACATTTAATTGCAAATTTATCAATTAGTTTGATTGAAATGTATCCAGCTACTGTGGTGGGATTAACCCCAAGTTTCTGCAGCATTATCCTGATCTAATATTTGTCCCGTCAGCAAATAAAATCCATCCTCTCTAATGCCAGACATCAGGTCAAATATCTATGCTTAGGCTCGGGCAGATGTAGAGGACACATGTATTCCAGTCCCTTTCCACCTGTTCCTGAAGAAAACATCACGGTAGAAAACACAAAACCACTTACCTGTGTCTCCATTTTCACCAAAAATGTTGATGAAGACATCAGCGTCAGTGCCGCTGCCTTTGACAGCACCTGTAAACACACTCACGATGTACTTGTTTACTGGGGAACAAAATGGAAAGGATTTTAACAGTCACCCGTGTTCTACAAGCACCTCAGAGTCAACGCAATATGAACATTATTAGCAATTAAATAACTAGCTAATTAATTCCGTGCATTACAAATATTAGTTGTACATTTGAAGGCAGATGTTGCACCCATTCACCATCTGAGATACAGTAAAATAATGCCTTTATTACTGTCATTTAATGGCATTCTAAATGCATACAGAGTGCCTAGAATTGGAGTTAATGTTAAATTTTAATAGTCATACGCCATGTATCTGAGACAGTTCACATAATGAACTGTTCATTCTGTAAGAAACATGATTGAAAATGCTGACCTATATTAGTCACTGGGATACCCAAGTTGTATCAATGCATATTTTCTTATCCTTTTATTTCCCTCTCCCTTATCTTTGTTATTTTCCCATCTCAATCTCTTTACTGGGGAATTTATATATGTATTTTCTTAAGTTCAATCATTCTTGATGAACTCCAGTAGATGAGGCAGTTTTTAACATGCTATCTCAAGTGTGAGATCAAAACTCCTGCTTCAGAGTTCTGGATAAAGATCACTGGGCTCAAAATGTTAACTCTGTTTTCTCACCACAGCTGCTTCCAGACCAGTTCAGTTTCTCCAGCAATTTCTGTTTTTGCCTCTGCCTCTGTCTTCTCTCAACTGTAGTCAAGTTGATAAGAACAGTGAATACTCGAAAGTGAACTGTCGCAATTCAAGGTGAATTCTCAAAGCCTGTTGTCCCATTGTTGTAATTGCTAGGAAACTCATGACAATTCCATTTAAAGAAAGATTATAATTATATTGTTGGAGGCAGTTCAAACAAAGTTCACTAGGATGATAAAACCGAAAGAACTGCGGATGCTGTAAATCAGAAACAAAAACGGAAATTGCTGGAAAAGCTCAGCAGCCCTGGCAGCATCCGTGGAGAGAAATCAAAATTAACATTTCAGGTCAAGTGACCCTTCCTCAGAATAGCTACTCCTATTCATTAAGGGACTGCCTAATGAGCAAAGACTAAACGGGTTAGGGCTCTCCTCGCTGGAGTTTAGAAGAATGAGGTGATATTATTGAAACATATAGGATTCTTAAGGGGCTTGACAGGGTAATGCTGAGAAGATGTTTCCCCTCATGGGAGAGTCTAGAACCAGAGAGTATAGTCTCAGAATGAAAGGGCACCAAATTAAGATTGAGATGAAGAGGAATTTCTTCTCTCAGAGGGTTGAGAGTCTTTGGAATTCCTTGCCACAGAGAACTATAGCAGCAGAGTCCTTGTGAATTTTAAGGCTGAGATAGATAGATTCTTGATCAGTGGGGGAATTGAGGGTTACAGGGAAAGTACACGAAACTGGTCATGAGGAATGTGGATCAACCATGATCCACTGAATGGTGAAGAAGGCTCGTGGGGTTGAACAGCTACTCTTGTTCCTATTTTTTACAGTTATTCACATAATAATAATGTGGAAACTCTAAGAAAGTTATACAGCATACAGAAACAGGGGCTCTTATGGCACAGTGGTAGTGTACCAACATCTAATCCAGAGGCCTGGGTTCAAGTCCCACCTGCATGGCAGGTATGTAATAATATTGTTTAGATCCATATCTGGAACATATCTGAAAGAGAAGTACCTGGGTGACCATTACAATGACAATTAAACTCAGCAGAGGATGAGATGGCTTGAGAAAGCAGCTTTATTTTACATTTATGGGACACGAGTGTTACTAGCTGCCATTTATTGCCCATCCCAAATTGCCCTGCAGAGGTGAGCTACCTTTTTGAACCGTTGCAGTCCATGTGCCATAGGTAGACCCACAATGTCATTAGGGAGGAACATCCAGGATTTTGACCCAGTGACACTGAAGGAACAGTGATAGAATTTCCAAATCAGGATGTGAATGACTTGGAGGCTAACTTGCTTTTGGTGTGTTCCCATGAGTCTGCTGCCTTTGTTGTGGATTTGGAAGGTGCTGTCTAAGGATCTTTGGTGAATTTCTGCAGCACATCTTGCAGATTGTACATACTGCTGCTACTCAGCATTGGTGATGGAGGGAGTGGATGTGGTGCCAATCAAGAGGGTTGCTTTATCCTGGATGGTATCACCATCTTGAGTGCTGTTGGAACTGCACTCATCCAGGCAAGTGGGGAGTATTCCATCACAGGCCTGACTTGTGCCTTGTAGATGGTGGACAGACTTTGGGGAGTTCAGGAGTGAGTTACTAACTGCAGTATTCCTAACAGCCTTCTCCTTGTTCCCTCACCTTGTTTCTGCCTGGTCGTTCATTCATTTCCTGTATGCAAGACCACACACACAAAATGACTGCAACTGTTAGTCAACAAAATAACATTGAGTGCATTTCAAAAATAATCTGTCAATTGCAAAATGTTTTGGAACACTCTCATACAATGGTATAGAAGTACAGGTTGTGATCTTTTGAAGATACGTAGCTAGTTTCAGAGAACTGTTATTGTATTGGTGTAAGGAATATTGTGTATATCTGTGCAAAAAGCAAATTTCTTAGACCAGTTCTCTGACATTTTTGAGGCCAAAAGTCATAACATCGACTCTTGCATGAGCAATTTTCTGAGGGGTTGATTTGAGTGCTTGATTTGGGTCCAAGTGAAATCCAACAAAAAGACTGTTGTAATGGAGCAAAATGAGACCAACAAAACTAAAGGATTCATGTTTGTCTTTATTCATAATCTGATCACTTCAATCGCCTCAACCTCTCCACCCCTCTCACCCACTCCAACCTTTCCCCCGCAGAACGTGCAGCCCTCCGCTCCCTCCACTCCAATCCCAACCTCACCATAAAACCCGCGGACAAGGGAGGTGCAGTTGTAGTATGGCGCACTGACCTCTACATCGCCGAGGCCGGACGCCAACTCTCCGACACCTCCTCCTACCGCCCCCTTGATCATGACCCCACCCCTGAGCACCAAACCATCATCTCGCAAACCATCCACAACCTCATCACCTCAGGTGACCTCCCACCCACGGCCTCCAACCTCATCGTTCCCCAACCTCGCACTGCCCGCTTCTATCTCCTTCCCAAAATCCACAAACCTGAATGCCCTGGTCGACCCATTGTCTCCGCCTGCTCCTGCCCCACCGAACTGATCTCCAACTATCTCGACTCCATTTTCTCCCCCTTGGTCCAGGAACTCCCTACCTATGTCCGTGACACCACCCACGCCCTCCACCTCCTCCAGAACTTCCAATTCCCCGGTCCCCAACACCTCATCTTTACCATGGACGTCCAGTCCCTCTACACCTGCATTCCCCATGCAGATGGCCTTAAGGCCCTCCGCTTCTTCCTGTCCCGCAGGCCCGACCAGTCCCCCTCCACTGACACCCTCATCCGCTTAGCCGAACTCGTCCTCACACTCAACAACTTCTCCTTCAATTCCTCCCACTTCCTACAGACAAAGGGGGTAGCCATGGGTACCCGCATGGGCCCAAGCTACGCCTGCCTCTTTGTAGGTTACGTGGAACAATCCCTCTTCCGTACCTACACCGGCCCTAAACCCCACCTCTTCCTCCGTTACATTGATGACTGTATCGGTGCCGCCTCGTGCTCCCACGAGGAGCTCGAACAGTTCATACACTTCACCAACACCTTCCACCCCAACCTTAAATTTACCTGGACCATCTCTAACACCTCTCTCCCCTTCCTGGACCTCTCTGTCTCCATATCGGACAACCACCTCGAAACCGATATTCATTTCAAGCCCACCGACTCCCACAGCTACCTAGAATACTCCTCCTCCCACCCACCTTCCTGCAAAAATGCTATCCCCTATTCCCAATTCCTTCGCCTCCTCCGCATCTGCTCCCAGGATGAGGCATTCCACTCCCGTACGTCTCAGTTGTCCTCGTTTTTCAAGGACCGTAACTTCCCCTCCTCGGTGGTCGAGAACGCCCTCAACCGTGTCTCCCACATCTCCCGCACCTCATCCCTCACACCCCGTCCACGCAATAAAAACCAAAAAAGAATCCCCCTCGTCCTCACGTACCACCCCACCAACCTCCGGATCCAACGCATCATCCTCCGACACTTCCGCCATCTGCAATCCGACCCCACCACCAAAGACATCTTTCCCTCCCCACCTTTATCTGCTTTCCGGAGGGACAACTCTCTCCGTGACTCCCTTGTCCGCTCCACACTCCCCTCCAGCTCCACCACACCCGGCACTTTTCCCTGCAACCGCAGGAAGTGCTACACCTGCCCCCATACCTCCTCCCTCACCCCCATCCCAGGCCCCAAGAAGACTTTCCACATCAAGCAGATGTTCACCTGCACATCTGCCAATGTGGTATACTGCATCCGCTGTACCCGGTGTGGCTTCCTCTACATCGGGGAAACCAAGCGGAGACTCGGGGACCGCTTTGCAGAACACCTACGCTCGGTTCGCAACAAACAACTGCACCTCCCAGTCGCGAACCATTTCAACTCCCCCTCCCATTCCTCAGACGACATGTCCATCCTGGGCCTCCTGCAGTGCCACAACGATGCCACCCGAAGGTTGCAGGAACAGCAACTCATATTCCGCTTGGGAACCCTT